GATGTAAAATATAAATCAGGTTGGATATCATTTGTGACATGATATTTGATTGTAAACTATAATGTCATATTTAAGATCTCCAGTATCATTTTATAAATGTTGCCAATATTAACAAAGGCACTAAATTTTAACCACAGTTTTAAAGATAAAAGACATTTTATGAAAGTTTAACCTTATTTGACCTCAAAGAAGCCGTCAGAGGTCCAAAGGAATTGTCAGGGCCTGGATCTGTGACCCGGTGTTTTGAGTTTATTTTGTATTGTAGTTTTTCTTATGTTAGATTGCATCAATGTTAAGTTCTTGTGTTATTTAGTTAGGGTTTAGTTGAGTGATTTATTCTAGTGTATGTTTCATCCATGTCTCCGTATTCATGAGTCTTTCCTGTCTTCGATGTAAGTCTGTCTTAGTTATGCTTTCGTCTCCCTTATCTGTTCCCGTGTGTCTTTCCCTGTGTTCTCAAGCTTATGTTGTCATGTCAACGTTTCATTATGTTTCACAAACACTGTGTAGGAGCAGGACCGGAGTGGACTACAGACAAATTTCCATCGCTCCACTCTACAAGATTTCTTTTTTTTTTTTTAAATGTCCTTTTTACCAACAGAATGACATCCAGTGCTACCAAAAATATAACTTCCTTGTCTGAGGTATTTACTAAAAAAGCCCTGCTAGTAACATTACAGACTTTCAGTGACTCTACTTCAGACTATGGTTATCTGATAACCACAGTTTAATAGATCTGGAGAAAGCAGATGTTGAGCAGATGTCACACTCCTTAATTCTGTGGGTATAGTATTCTAGGAATGTGCTCAGTAAGATTCAGGATTCAAGAAGTTTATTGTCATATACACCACAAAACACAAGTGGCCGTGCAGAGCAATGGAATTCGTGAGTTCCCTTCACTCAACTAAATAAACAACTAACTAAAATAAGGAATAAACTTAACTTTGAGCGTAAGAGAAGTAAGAGAAATGTATTTTACAGCCAGTTTAATCATTTTTCCCAGTTTAATTAGCCTCATTTCGCACAATAATGACGTGAATTTGAGTTTTTAATCTCTTGTTTTCAGATCCTGCTTTCAGATGGATTCTTTCTACTGATGTAGATGTGATCCAACTTGTCTGGTAGTTTACATGAGACTGAGGCTGATTCTGTTGTTATAATTCTGATTCTTGTGATTCTTCCATCATTTAGGCATAAATCATTTGAGTTAATTATTCAATTTCCCAATATTATCCAGTAGCAATATTTACTGATTAAAATCTCACATTCATTCATTGATTCTAAAAATCTAATAATAATCCAGTGTCTCTAATTTGGGGATTATGAACTCCATCTATTTAGCTGTTCCCTCGCTCATCCACATTTCAGTTACTAAACATATTAAAAAAACACAAGACTGAATTCACATCTCCACATCCCTAAAATCTGCGATCACACTGAGAATACCACCGCATGCCTTTACACTACAAATGGCACCAGCATGTCTGGCACTTTCAGCAGCACAGAGAAGCAGAGATAAGGTCTAACCAGAAAGCTCACAGAGTCCAGTTTAACTTTATCTGGAGGTTTTGTCTGAAGCTCCAGTCAAACAGAATATAAACTCCTTCACCATTAGATGTTTAACAGTCCTCGTTCTCTCTTCCCTTCACTGCCCTGATTGGTCTCTTTGAGGCTTTCCAAGTCTTCATGCA